GTGAATACATTTTTATTGGTTCCACCTCAATTTTTTTATTATATATCTTTTTTATTATGTATCTATATATATATAGATGTAATTAATTGTGGTTATTACTAACTTTTCCCCTTTTTATTTATTCTCCCGTTTTCCATGTACATGTTTTGTACATATATACATGAGCACTTATGTGCACATGAACATTATGTCATTATGTTTATGTGGGCTTGAGGATTAGCAGTTATATGAACTCGGTAAGGGACTTTTCTGCTGGAAAAATCGGACCGCAAGCGAAACCGTAAGTGCCCCCTGTGAGACGCATATTGGAACGCATGCGATACTGGAAGTAAAAGGAATGGGACGCATAAATCCGGAAATCACAGACGGTGAAGAAGAAATCATCTAGTCTTCGCTGATTGGTCCGATGGCAAAGGGGGCGGGTCCTAAATACCCGATTTTCCGCGCCAAAAGGCTTTTAAATGTATGGATTTTATATAACATTGTGAACTGCACCTGAGGAAGACGAGATTGATCGTTGAAACGCGTTGTGCTGCTATTTATGCTGTCATTTTTTGCTGATTTTACAAGACCTCAATGTAAGGTTTTTATTTACTTATAATAAATGTGCTTTTTATACTCTTTTAATTTGATGTTTGCTTGTTCAAGAATTTACATATTCTGAGGATCAAGCTACATCCCTGGGAGTAACTTCAAGATTTGACCTGAGACACCTTAAAGTGATACTACTTAAACCAGTTTCTATATGGGATCTGACAAAAACTTATGACGCTCAAAGATCTTAAAATACTGGGGTATTTATCTCTCTTTGTATTTTTATTCACTGATTGTGTTTATACTCCTATAAGATTTGTGGGTTTGGTCCATGCGCTGCACACTTTTTCTGTTTTTGTTTGCTCGTGAGTGTTTGTGTGACCCCGGTTCCCTATCCAGGGATGCGCCACTGGCCTCTGCCCTACCTGTCCCTTTGTTACAAGGCAAGACTGCGCACCAGTTAACCCAGCTGAAGCGCTGGCACCAGGGAAGAGTACTGCTGATCTCTGCCCACAAAGTAACCTCCACTCCAAGCCAGAGAGCAACACAGAGACCAGGAGTACCAGCTGCCAACACAACCTTGGTGGACTCACTGGACAGAGACAGGCTACCAAATTCACCAGGTCAAGACCACTGGCGGATCCAGGGGGGGCAACGGGGCAATTGCCCCCCCCGAGAAATCCGCCGGTCTCCCTCTCCCTCCCCTGCCAGGACATGCAGGTGCTAGCCCTGCAATGTGCCTGCGGACCGGAGGCACATTGCTGACAGCCGGCAGGGGAGGGAGAGGGAGGACCCGGGAGCTCAGTCTGCAGCTCCTCCGGGTCCTCCTCTCGCGAGATTTGGAGCATTGGCAACGCTCCAAATCTCGCGAGAGTGAACTCTAGCCCGGGAGCGCGGGCTAGAGTTCACTGTAACCACTGGGACCACCAGGGAATCACCACTGGGACCACCAGGGATGAAAATATGTCCCCCCTCCTCCTCAATAAAGGTAAGAAGGGAGGGGGGACATATTTGGTTTTTTTAATTAAATAAAGATATATATTAAAAAAAAAGCCCCCCC